AATAAAGAGAATGAAAAAGGTATTTTATGCAAATGGAAAGGGAAAAAAGTTGGGGTAGCAGTAGTTACATTCAACAAAATGGACTTTAAAACCAAGGCTATAGTAAGAGACCAAGAAGGGCACTACATAATGATAAAGGGAACAATCCAACAAAAGAATATAACCCTAGCAAACCCTTGGGTATTTACATACCCAAGACAGGAGCACCTAAATATGTGAAGCAAATCTTAAGGGACATAAAGGGAAAGATGGACAGAAAGGCAGTCATAGTAAAAAAAATTAATACCCCATTGACTTCAATGGGTAGATCCTCCAGGCAGAAAATCAACCAGGAGAGAGCAGCCTTAAACAACACACCAGATCAAATGGATTTCTTCATTTAATGCATTTTTTCAGAGCATTCCATCCCAAAGCAGCATAATATACATGGAATGCTTTCTAGGATAGACCACATGTTAGCACACAAAACATCTCAATATATTTTAAAAGACTGAAATCATATCAAACATCTTCACTGACCACTATGCTATGAAACTAGAAATCAATCACAGGAACACTGAAAAACACATAAATACATAGAAGCTAAATAATGTTTATTAGCCACACATAAGAATAAATTAAAAATAGATTAAAGACTTAAATGTTAGACCCCAAACCATAAAAATCATAGTAGAAAACATAGGCAGCAAAGTCTCAGACATTGCTCATAGCAATATTTTATTGGATATATCTCCCCAAGCAAGGGAAACAAAAGAAAAAATAAACAAATGGGAGACCAGCAAACTACAATGATTTTGCACAGCAAAGGAAATCATCAATAAGATAAAAAGACAGCCCACAGAACAGGATAACATATTCCCCAATACATATAATAAGGAGTTAATATCCAAAATTTATAAGGAACTTACAAAACTCAACACCAAAAAAACAACCTAATTTAAAAAATGGGCATAGGGCTTGAATAGACACTTCTCCAAAGAGGTCATACAGATGGCCAGAAGACATATGAAAAGATGCTCAATGTCACTAATCACCAGAGAAATGCAAATTAAAACCACAATTATATATCATCTTCACCTGTCAGGGTGGCTATCATCAATAAATCAACAAACATCCACTGCTGGCCAAGATGTGGAGATGGGGAAACACTTTTGCACTATTGGTGGGAATGCAGACTGGTGCAGCCACTGTGGAAAGCAGTATGGAGATACCTCCAAAACTTAAAAATGGATCTGCCTTTCCATCCAGCTATGACACTTCTGGGAATATATCCAAAGGAACCCAAAACACTAATTCAAAAAAACATAAATGTTTCTATGTTCACCGTACCATTATTTATAATTGCTAAGATATGTGGGCAGTCCAAGTGTCCATCAGATAGGCAAAGTATATATCAGTAGATAGACACTTCAGTGAGTATAGTGATAGAACTATGGAACATTTACACAATGGAATACTATTCTGCCATAAAAAAGGATGAAAATTTTACCCTTTGAGACAGTATGGATGGACCTATGCTAAGTGAGATAAGCCAGTCAGAGAGAAACAAGTACCATATGATTTCACTCATATGTGTTATCTAATGAACAAATTGAACTAACAAGTAAAATGGCAACACAGACTCATAAATGGAGACAGGATGACAGCTGGAGGTGGGAGGTCAGGGGGTGGAGGGATTGAGGAAAAACTAAAAGGGATTCATGGACATAGACAACAGTGTGGGGATTGCTTGGGGTAGGAGTGTATGTATAAGGGGAATAAATAGCAACGGAAAAAACACAATAAACATTCTCTTAAAATTTAAAAGTGGGGTAAAATTCTCATAACATAGAAATGATTATCTTAACTATTTTAAGTATACAACTCAGTACATTGATATCTTTGTGCAACTGTCACCACCATCCCTCTCCAGAACTCTTCATTGTGCAAAACGGAAACTCTATACCCATTTAACACTAACTCTCCATTCATCCTTACCCAAGCCCCTGATAACCACGCTTCTATGTTCTGTCTCTATGAATTTAATTACTTTAGGGACCTCATATAAATGGAATCATAGAGTATTTGCCTTTTTGTGGCTGCCTTATTTCACTGAACATAATGTCCTCCAGGTTCATTCATGCTGTGGCATGTGTCAGAATTCCATTCCTTTTCAATGCTGAATATTTCATTGTATGTATAGACCACAGTTTGTTTATCAGTTCATTCAACAATGGACACTTTGCTTCCACCATTGAGTTATTGTGAATAATACTGGCATGAGCATAGGTGCACAAATGTCTCCTTGAGACCCTGCTATCAATTATTCTGGGTATATACCCAGAAGTGGAATTTGATCATATGATTATTCTGTTTTTAATTTTGAAAGCAACTACCATACTTTTTTCCACAGTACTGCACCATTTCATATCCCTTACAACTGTGCACAAGGGTTCCAGTTTTTTTCACATCCTCACCAACACTTGTTTTCTGGATTGTTTTTATAATAACCATTTTAGTGACTATAAAGGCACACCTTATAGTGGTTTTGATTTGCATTTCCTGGATGATTAATGGTGCTGGGCACCTTTCCATATGTATACTGGTGATTCGTATATCTTATTTGGACAAATATATATTAATATATAGACATTTTTATAAATGTCTATTTGCTCATATATATTGTGTGTTTTAGGAGTTCTTTATGTATTTTGGATGTTAGCCTCTTATCAGATAGGTGATCTGCCAATATTTTCTCCCATTCTGTGGTTTCCTTTTTACTTTGTAGGTAGTGTTTTTTGGCATACAAAGGTTTTAAATTTTCACGAGGTCCAACTTTTCCTTTTTGTTACCTGTACTTTTGGTGATATCCAAGAAGTCCATGCCAAATCCAATATCGTGATGCTTTTGCCTTTTGTTTTTCTTCAAAGAGTTTTACAGTTTTAGCTCTTACATTTAGGTCTTTATTTCATTTGAGTTCACTATTATTTATGGTATTAAACAAGGATCCAACTTCATTCATTTGCCTATGGATATCCAATTTTCCTGGTATCATTTCCTGACAAAATTGTTTTTCCCCAAAAATTGTTTTTCCCCCATTAAATGGTCTTAGCAGTTTTGTCAAAAATCATTTGACCTGATATGTGAGGTTTTATATTTAGGCTCTCTGCTCTCTTACATTGATCCACATGTTTAATACTGAGTCAGTACTTCATTGTTTTGATTACTAAAGATTTTTAATAAATTTTGAAAATAGAAAGTATGAGATTTTCAGATTTGTTTTCCTTTTTAAGATTGCTTTGGTTATTCAGGATCTCTTGAGATTCCATATGAACTTTAGGATGAATTTTCTATTTTTGTAAAAATTGTTGTTGGGATTTTACCAGAGATTGCATTGAATCTGTAAATTGTTTTGGGTAGTATTAATATTTCAACAACATTAAGTCTTTCAATTCATGAACATGGAATGCATTTTAATTTATTTATGTGTTCCTTGATTTCTTTCAGCAACATTTTGTAGTTTTGATTGTTTAACTCCCATCTCCTTGGTTAACTCAATTCAAAAGTGTTCCTTTTAATTAATTTATTTTTTATTTTTGAAGCTGTTTTAGATGTCTCCCAGTTTCCCCCATCTCCAGCCTTCCCCACATTGTTGTCTGTGTCCATGCATTACAAATGGAATTATATTCTTAATTTCCTTTATAGAGTTGTCATTGTGTGTTGATTCTATATCCTGCTATTTTGCTGAATTCATTTATTCATTCATTCCCATTTATTAGTTTGTGTGTGTGTGTGTGTGTGTGTGTGTGTGTATAATCTTTTGGGCTTTCTATAATTAAGATAATAGCATATATGAACAAAGATGGTACTACTTATTTCTTTCCAATATAGATACCTTTTCTTTCTTTTTCTTGCCTAATTATTCAGACCAGAACTTCCAGTAATATCTTGAATAGAAATGGCAAAGGTAGGCATCAATCAGCACCCCATTTCTAATCCTAGAAGAAAAGCTTTTATTCTTTCACCATTGAGATGCATGTTAATTGGGGGCAGTGGAGAGGGTGGTTCATGTATGGTTTTTATGATGTTGAGGTAGTTTTCTTCTAGTCCTAGTTTGCTGAGTGTTCTTTTATGAGAAAGATTGTTGAATGTTTTCAAATGATTTTTTCAGTATCAGTTAAGATGATCATGTTTTTCCCCTTTACTGTTAGTGCAGTGTATTATTATATCCATGACTTTCATGTTTTTTTAAATTTAATTATTTTTCAAGTACAGTTTTCTGTCTATCCTTGCATTCCAGATAAAAACTCATTTGTGTGTGGTGTATAATTCTTTTAATATGCTGTTGAATTCAGTTTGTTACTATTTTGTTGCAGAGTTTTGCATCAATATTCATAATTTTTATTGGTATGTGCTTTTCTTGCTGTGTCTCTTTGCCTGGCTTTGGTATCAGAGCAATGCTGACTTCATGGAATTGGTTGGAAAGTGTTTCTTCATCTTCACTTTTTGGAAAAAGCATGAAAAGGATTGATATTAGCTCTTTAAATGTTTGATAAAAACTTACTAATGAAGCCATCTGGTTTGGGGCTTTTCCTGACTAGGAGTTTTTTGATTAGTAAATTAATGTACTTACTATTTATGGGTCTATTCAGATTTTCTATTTCTTCATGATTCACTTTTAGTAGGTTGTATGTTTCCAGGGATCTGTTCATTTTATCCAAATTATCCAATTTGTTGCTATACAATTGTTCATAGTATTCTTTTATAACCCTTTTTATTTCTGTATATTCAGTAATGTCCCTACTTCTGATTTTAGTAATTTGAATTAATCTTTACTGTCTTTTTTAGTCAATATAGTTAAAGGTTTGCCAATCTTATTGGACATTTTAATAATCAATTTACATTTTGTTGATTTTTCTAGACCATTTTTCTGTTCTCTCATTTTTTTAGTTCATTTAGGTATAGTGTTAGACTGTTTATTTATTTGAATTTTTTATTGTGAACCGGGAAGCTGCTCAGCCATGGGTGGTCCAGGAGGGAAGATCAACCTCCCAGAACAGAGTTGAAGAAGAAACTGCTCAAGCAAAGGCAGGTGTTAGGAGCTGTGATAGAGGAGGGGCTGATCACATGGCACCACCTCAAGAAGCAGGTATCCAGTCCAGTGCATGTACCAACATTACTCTGTCTGGGAAGAAGTGCAGAAAACTCCTCCAGCAGAAAGAAAAGGCAGCTATGGAAGTGGAAGTCCAGGCAAAGCCAGTCAAGACTAGTGAACCATAGCCCAAATCACAAAAGAAGACAGAAGCCCTCCTACCCACCCCCAGGATAAAAATATGGAGAACCTTGAAGATTGGAGCTAAATCTTACTCCTTTCATCAGAAGATTCTCAACTGAAGCCAGGAGGATTCAGTGGTTGTTTCAGAACACTTCAAAGTAAACACTGCACCTTTTCACTCTCCCTAGACTCCTCTTGCATAAGGGCCTAGTGACTTTGCCACAGAAGGATGTGCTGAAAGGAAGAATAGAAAAGATAAGAGAGGGGGCTTCTTAGCAGTCAGCTGTATTTGTAGACCTAGAGTTATCAAGGATAAAAACATCTTGTTTCTTTTTTATTGTTGATACTATTACAGATGTCCCCTCATCCCCCCCCTTATAGTCCCCACCACCCAACTCCTGCCCCCTGGCCTTCACCACATAGTTGTATGTGTCCATGGCTATGCACATGTTTCTTCCAATCATCCCACCACCCTCCCCTCTGAGATCTGTCTGTCTGTTTCATATATCCATGCCTTTGGTTTTATTTTTTTCATCAGTTTATTTTGCTCAGTAGATTCCACATGTAAATGAGATCATATGGCATTGGTCTTTTTTGACTGGCTTATTTTCCTTAGCATAATATTCTCTAGGTTCATCCATCCTGTTGCAAAAGGTAAGTGTTCCCTCTTTATCACAGCATGTAATATTCCATTGGGTAGATGTACCACAGCTTTTTTTATCCACTCATCTACTCATCTGCTCATCCACTCTTGAGCCCTTGGGCTGTTTCCTGATTTTGGCTATTGTAAATAACACTACTCTGAGCATAGGGGTGCATATATTCTTTCTGATTGATGTTTTGGGATTCTCAGGATATATTACCAGAAGTGGAATTGCTGGATGAAATGGCAGTCATTTTTAATCTTTTTGAGGAAGCTTCATATTGTTTTCCACAGTGGCTGCACCAATCTGCATTCCCACCATCAGTGCATGAGGGTTACCTTTTCTTTACATCCTTGCCAGCACTGTTTGTTGATTTATTGATGGTAGCCATGCTGGCAGGTGTAATATTACATCTCATTATGGTTTTAATTTGCATTTCTCTGATGTTAGTGACATTGAGCATCTTTTCACATGTCTATTGGCCATCAGTATGACCTCTTTGAAGAGGTGTCTATTCAGGTCCTTTGCTCTTTTTTAATTGGGTCGTTTGCCTTCCTGGTGTTGAGTTGTTAAGTCCTTTATATACAATATTTTAGAAATTAACCCCTTGTCAGATGTATCACTGGCAAATATGTACTACCATACAGTGAGTTTCCTCTTCATTTAGTTAATAGTTTCTTTTTGCTATGCAGAAGCTTTTTAGTTTGATGCAGTCCCATTTGTTTATTTTTCCCTGTTTTTCTTGCCCTAGGAGATATATCAGCAAAAATATTGCTATGCAAGATGTCTGAGATTTTACTGCCTATGTTTTCTTCTAAAACTTTTATGGTTTTGTGACTTACATTTCAGTCTTACCCATTTTGAGTTTATTCTTGTGAATCATATAAGTTGATAGTCTGGGTTTTTTGTTTGTTTGTTTGTTTGTTTGTTTTTGCATGTGCTTGTCCAATTTCCCCAACACCATTTTTTTGAAGTGACTGTTTTTATTCCATCGTATGCTCTTGCCTCCTTTGTCAAATATTAATTGACCATAAAAGTGTGGGTTGATTTCTGGGATCTCCATTTTGTACCATTCTTTATGCCTGTTCTTGTGCCAGTACCATGATCTCTTGCTTACAGTGGCTTTGTAGTATAGTTTGATATCTGGTATTGTGATTCTACCAACTTTGCTCTTTCTTAAGATTTCTAAGGCTATTTGAAGTCTCTTTTGGTTCCATATAAAATTTTGGAATATTTGTTTTAGGTCTGTGAAATATGGAATTGCATTGAATCTATAGTGTGCTTTTGGTAGTATGGGCATTTTAATGATGTTAATTCTTCCAATCCATGAACATGGTACATGCTTCCACTTGTTTGTGTCTTTTATTTCTTTCTTGTAGTTCTATAGTTTTCCAAGCATGAGTCTTTTGGAATCCTTTTGTTTCTTTTTCTTAAAGTATATTTTATTAATTATGCTATTGCAGTTTTCCCATTTTCCCCCTTCATTCCCCTCCACCCTGTGGATCCCCTTCCCCCACTCACCCCCTTTAGTTCATGTCCACGTGTCACAAGTTCTTTAGAATCTATATTTCCCATACTATTCTTGCCCTCCCCCTATCTATTTTCTACCTACCATCTATGCTACTTATTCTGTGTACCTTCTCCCCCTCTCTCCTCGTCCCACTCCCCTGTTGCTAACCCTCCATGTGATCTTCATTTCTATGGTTCGGCTCCTGATCTAGCTGTCTTCTTAGTTTGCTTTTGTTTTAGGTGTGGTTCTCAATAACTGTGAGTTTGCTGTCTTTTCACTGTTCATCTTTTTTATCTTCTTTTTCTTAGGTAAATCCCTTTGACATTTCATATAATAAGGGCTTGGTGATGATGAACTCCTTGAATTTGATCTTATCTGAGAAGCACTTTATCTGTCCTTCCATTATAAATGAAAGCTTTGCTGGATAGAGTAATCTTGGATGTAGGTCTTCGGATTTCATGACTTGGAATACCTCTTTCCAGCCCCTTCTTGCCTGTAAGGTCTCTTTTGAGAAATCAACTGACAGTCTGATGGGAACTCCTTTGTAGGTGACTGTCCCCTTATCTCTTGCTGCTTCTTGGATTCTCTCCTTCATTTGAATCTTGGCTAATGTAATTATGATTTTCCTTAGTGTGTTCTTCTTTGGGACTCTCTGAGCTTCCTGGACTTCCTAGAACGTCTATTGCCTTTGCCAGATTGGGGAAGTTTTCCTTCATTATTTGTTCAATAAGTTTTCCACTTGTTGCTCTTCTTCTTCCCCCTCTGGTACCCCTATAATTCGGATGTTGGAACTTTTAAAGATGTCCTGGAGATTCCTATGCCTCTTCTCATTTTTTTTTTAAATTCTTGTTTTCTTCTTTTCTGTTTGGTTGTTTCTTTCTTCCTTCTGGTCCACTCCCTTGATTTAAGTCCCAGTTTTCTTTCCATCACTACTGGTTCCCTGTACATTTTGCTTCATTTCACTTAGTGTAGCCTTCTTTTTTTCATCTAATTTGCAACTAAAATCAACCAAGTCGGTGACCATCCTGATCACCAATGTTTGAACTGTGCATCTGATAGGTTGGCTATCTCTTGGTCACTTAGAAGTATTGGCTCTGGGGCTTTGAGCTGTTCTGCTTGAGCCATAATGTTTTGGTCTGTTAGTGCCTGTTAAGTATGAGGGGAGGAGCCTTAAGTGTTCACCAAGGTGGGTCAGCCCAGTCGCTGGCTTGTGACTGGGGGCAGGGTCAGAGAGGGAGCAATGGCATTTGTTTCACTCTCTCTTGGATTTTGGTCCCCTCTACCACTTCTCACAAGCAAATTTGGCCCTTCTGATGCTGGTTTCCAGGTGTGTGGGCTTCTGTATGTTCTAGGACCCTGTGGGTCTTTCCAATGAACTCTGTTGTGAGGCTGCAAGCCTGTCCCGGCACCTCAACCCCCAAAAGTTTTCTCAGTTGGTGCTTTTAGGCTTTAATTCCCATTGCTGGGGCCCTGGGTTGCATGTTCTGTCTAACTGTCCATTTTTTCGCCTGGTTTATCTACACATGAAGGTGTGACCACAGTCAGCCAGCCACCTTGTGTCCTCGCTGGGTCTGCCCGTTGCCACCCCACTCCTGGGATCTTCTAACCACTCCCTGCATGCCTGGGTCAGTCGGCAGCCACCGCTCTTCTCTGCCATGACCCCTCTCAGCTGGCCACCGACTCCGTCCCTCTTACCGGTCTGGACAAATGGTTCATTGTTGTTGGACTTCAGTACAGTTCAATTTTCTGTCTGTTTTGGTTGTGTTTTTGCTTCTAAATCTTTGTTGTCCTTAAGTTTGGTTGTGCAAGGAGGTACAGTGTTTCCACCTACACCTCCATCTTGGCCAGAAGTCTGTAGTTTTTTATCTTCTTCAATTTCTTAGATAAGTCCCTTTAACATTTCATGTAACTTGGTGACAATGAACTCCTTTAACTTGACCTTATCTGGGAAGCACTTTATCTGTCCTTCCAGTCTAAATGATAGCTTTTCCGGATAGAATAATCTTGGATGTAGGCCCTCGCCTTTCATGATTTCCAATATTGCTTTTCAGCCCCTTGTTGTCTGCAAGGTTTCTTTTGAGAAATCAGCTGATAGCCTTATGGGAACTCCTTTGTAGGTAACTCTTTCCTTTCCTTTTGCTGCTTTTAAGATTCTCTCTTTATCTTTAATCTTGGGTAAGTTAATGATGATGTGTCTTGGTGTGTTCCTTCTTGGGTCCAACTTCTTTGGGACTCTCTGGGCTTCCTGGACTTCCTAGAAGTCTATTTCCTTTGTCAGATTGGGGAAGTTTTCTTTCATTATTTGTTCAAATAAGTTTTAAATTTCTTGCTCTTGTTGTTCTCCTTCTGGCACCCCTATAATTCAGATATTGGAATGTTTAAGGTTGTCCGAGAGGTTCCTAACTTTTCTTCATTTTTTTGAGTTCTTGTTTCTTCATTCTGTTCTGGTTGGATGATTATTTCTTCTTTTTGTTCCAAATCATTGATTTGAGTCCTAATTTTCCTCCTGTCACTGTTGGTTCCCTGAATATTTTCCTTTATTTCACTTTGGGTATCTTTCATTTTGCCATCAAGTTCAATCAGTTCTGTGAGCATTTTGATTACCTGGGCTTTGAATGCTCCATCATATAGGTTGTCTATCTCCTCATTGCTTAGGCCTCTCTCTGAAGTTTTGCTCTGCTCTTTCATTTGGGCCATATTTCTTGTCTCAGCGCAACTGGTGTAAGGGGGAGGAGCTTTAGATATTCACTAGGGCAGGACAACCCTCCTTCCTGTGCTGTAGCACTGTCTGTCGGGGAGGGGCCAGGGCGGAACAATGCAGCTCGCCTTCTTGGGTCTAGCCCACTGTCCAATGAACTTGTGTGACACTGGGAGTTTCTCCCACCATAGTCCACAGCCAGCTCTGAGTCTCAGTTTCCTGTTCACCCAGACTACCTGGCACAGTCTGCCACCTCACTGCATTTGTCTCAGCTGTCCTCATCTGTGAAGTCTGCCACCTCACCCTGGCTTCTCTCTGTCCACCTGTTTTATTAGTCTTTGTGTGCTTTACTGTTTCTTTAATTCCTTGGTTGTCAGAGTTCCATGCAGTTTGACTTTCTGGCGCTTCTGGTTGTTTATTGATTTTAGATGGCTGTTATTCTCCTTTTGGTTGTGCAAGGAAGTGAAGGGTTTCTACCTATGCCTTCATCTTGGCAAGAACTTTGTTTGTTTCTTGAGATAGGCCTGTATAGCTATAAAATTTCCTCTTGGAAGCACTTTTGCTATATTCCATGAATTTTTAAAAGTTGTGTTATTTTCATATGTTTCAAATGTACTTTTCTAATATCCTGTTTGATTTTCTCTTTGATTTATTTGTTATTTAGTGACATTTAATCTTCATATATTTTGTTTTTTTCCAATTTTCTTCTTGTTATTGGTTCTAGTTTTATGTCCTTGTGGTCAGAAAAGATGCTTGACATGATTTTAATTTTCTTGAATTTATTAAAGCTTATTATGTGGCCTAAAATGTGATCTATCCTGGAGAATATCCTATGTGCACTTGAAAAAAATGTGTATTTTGCAATGTTTAGGTGAAATTATTCTATAAATGTCTATTAAGTTCATCTAGTCTTATGTACATTTAAAACCAGTATTTTTTTATTAATTTTTCTCTTTGGATGATCTTAGTCATTGATGTGAGTAGGGTAAAAATTGCCTAGTGTTACTATATTAATTTCAATGTCTCCCTCTATGTCCATTAATTATTTTATATATTTAGGTTTTTCAAATGTGCATTTCTGTTGGGTGTGTAAATATTAACAATTGTTATATCCTCTTGTTGAACTGACCCCTTATAATTATGTAAATCCTTTTTGTTCTTTTTTTACATTTTTCACTTTTTTTTTTGTCTGATATATTACTACTTCACCTCTCTTTTTGTTTCTATTTGCATAGAAAATCTGTTTTTATCTGTTCACTTCGGTCTGTGTTTTTCTAATTCAAGTAAGTCTTTTTTAAGAAGCA